TTTTTGTATGTCGGTGTATATGTATTTCACTGAAATTGTCTCAAAAACATCTGAACCGCTTTCAAAATGTTTCAAAAGTTTTGTGCCAAGATCGGCTGAGCCGCCTTTTTGTAATTATCGGATAAGAGCAAAATTTGTCTTACATATATTTTCTATGACGTTTGTTCAAAGAATTACTCTCGCAAAGCATTCAGTATTTGTCTATTATTAATTTTGTATTTGTTTACTTCATCCTTTAATATTCAAAAACAAATAAATTGAAAATCTTTCACAACAATATGTGATGTGATGGTTAAAAGTTAATGACTTGCGTCAAACAAAGGCAGATTATATAAAGTATTTGAAATAAAAATATGTCTGATAAAACAAATGAAATATTTTAATCCCGATCATCTTTTAATCTTTGCAGATTACGTCCGAATTAAAATGTCAGATATTCAAAACAGATCATAAATCATTTACGAAAGTATTTGGGACAAAGTTATTTTAACGTATGACGTTGTGGAGTAGAAAATTTGAAAATTTTAGCCACTATTTGATAAAATATTAATTTAACAAGGTTTGGGCGACATTTTGCCTTAAGGCAAGTTGACAATTGACTTAATGAATCAACTAAAAATATTTAATAGATGAGTGATTTATAAGTATGACGAATTGCAATAGAGCATCATAATGTGAGTACTGCGGTCAATTTTTCCAAACGTGTTTGTCATTTTAGAAAAAAATTGTTTAAATTTACACATCTCAGCCTCTCAGCCTCTTAGCCGGAGCAAGTTGGCAAATTGAGAGTACGAATATCCGCATTTCAACTACGAATTATTCAAAATTTCAATATCAAAGTGCATACTACATTTTAGTAAATTTTATCTATTTTTTACTAATCTAAACATATTATAATGTCAGAAATGAAAATTATAAATTATTTGGAAAAAACTAAAAAAATGTCCTAAATCAATATATTGCAAGTTATGGAAATACTAATTAGGTGCGCATTTCAACTACGAATTATTCAAAATTTCAATATCAAAGTGTTTGTACAATATCAAACAGTTTATACTATATTTTAGTAAATTTTATCTAGTTTTTACTAATGTAAGCAAATTATAATGTGCAGTATGAAAATTAAAAGTTATTCGAAGAAAAGTTAAAAAATGTACCAAATCCATGTATTGCAAACTATAAAAATACTAAAGCCCGCATTTTAACTACGAATTATTCGAAATTTCAATATCCAAGTGTATACAACAGTTTTTACTAGATTTTAGTAAATTTTATCTAATTTTCACTAATATTAACATATAATAGTGTCCGGAATGATAATTAAAAGTTATTTGAAGAAAACTAAGTAAGTGTACCAAAAACTCATGTATTGCAAACTATAAAAATACTAAAGCCCGCATTTCAACTACGAATTATTCAAAATTTCAACATCAAAGTGTATACAACAGTTTTTACTACATTTTAGTAAATTTTATCTAGTTTTCATTAATGTAAACATTTTATTATGCCCGAGATGATTATTATAAATTATTTGAAGAAAAGTGAAAAACTGTACCAAATCGCAAATGTACCAATGGAAAATTTGCCAGTGTTCTAAGCACTGTCTGCATTTCAACTACGAATTATTCAAAATTTCTATTTTCAAGTGTATCAATCATTTTTGACTAAACTTTAGTAAATTTTATCTAGTTTTTACTAATGCAAGCAAATTATAATGCCCAGTATGGAAATTAAAAGTTATTTAAAGAAAATTAAAAAATGTCCTAAGATCATTTATCACAAGTGTTCAAGACACTAAAGTCCGCATTTCAACTACAAATTATTCAAAATTTTAATATACTAGCTTAAATAATAGGTTCTACCAGGTTCTAGTAAAATTTATCTAGTTTTTATTGAAGTATATAAAACACAGCGGTCGGAGAAAAATTTTCAAGGCATTCAAAAAAATGTAAAAAAACGTCCAAAATTCGCACACTGCTAAATTACCAGAAAAGCGTTCCTACAAGATATTGAAATTTATTATATAGGTGCATACAACAATTATTCCTAATTACAAATAATAAAATACAAATAAAATGTTCGAAACGAAACGTTTATGTTGTTTTAGAAATACCCTAACTTTACATATTCCTAATTATCAAAATACTAATTATACTGAATATTATAATTCTAAATCAAACGACAAACAACTAAATCAATTGAATTTGAACAAAAAATACCAGCAAAAGCCCTTGGGGAGTGTATTTTTACGCCGCCCCCCTATAGTGTGTGTAATAATCGACAAATCAGAGTCCTGATCTATAAAATAGTTTTTTCCTGCTTTAGTGGCTTAAAAATCTATTTGCGCATTTCAGTTGCGAAAAATTGGCGAATTTCTCACTTTTTTCTGAATTTTTTTAGGTTTAACTAAAATCTATACTATTGAAAATATAAATTTGTTCCCGCCAAAGCCTATAGAGCAGGCTCCTTCCTTAGGTCATCAACAAAAACAAGCAAGATTACCGTGGGCAGTTATCAGAACAATGTAAAAAATCAATCTGTCGATCTGATTGTAGATCGTAGAAGAGGAAATAACTCCGTCCCTAGACAATGTTAGAATTTAATGTATTCATACTCCGTCTATCTACTTCTTGAACCGACAATAAAATGCAACAATATGCAGACGAACATCGGCCAATAAAATGTCGAAAATGTCAAAAATGTAAAAATTTGTTCTGACATGATTTGATCTTTTTTTTTTATTATTTATTTATTTCACCCTAATGGCCTACAAATACATCATTATCTATCCACAGTAATACCTTAAACCTACTTTATATACAATAAAATAAAAAGAAAAGCCTAATCAGAGGGATCTAATAACTTTAGCGTTTTAGACTGGTAGTCCAAATAACTCTTTTTTCTTTGTTTTCTTCATGCATTTGATTGTTTTCAACCAGCCTAGACTTTCTTGTCATTCTTGCCACAGTGAACGTCTTCTATAGAAATGCTTGTTCTCTCTAACATCGCGCATCTTTCTTTCCAATGCTCAACCGTGTCCTCCTCTTCCCGCACAGCTCACATCTTTGTTCTTCAGGGTTCAGCCAGTGTTTGTTATTATTTATATGTTCTCCTTTCATCCAACCTCTCTTTATCCCCTTTATCTCTTCTTCTTTCGCTAATACACTCCTTCGCTATGGCATTCTCTCCTGTCTTTAACTGCTTCTCTTCATAATTAATTGCTCTCTTAGCTAATCTCAGATGTAATTTGTCTCGTTTTAGTTCCTCATAGAGTACATAATCTGGAGTACAGGACTCCAGACCTAGTATCTATTTCAAGTATCTCTTCTGTACTCTTTCGAGCTCTGCGATCTCTCTCCAACCCCAAATCTCTGCAGGGTAAGCGAACACTTCGACTGCCAAACTGTCAAACATCTTTATTCTTCTGCTGAAGTTATTGTGGAATAATTTTCCGCCGAGGCACCACGTACTTCTCACTACGGTGTTTGCTTTTTTAGATATGATCAGATATTAATAATGTAATAAACAGTAGATAATACTATACAATATTACAAGAAAGAAGAAAGCCGTCAGAAAACAACAAAGTAACTAAATTATAGGTCCCGAATCAAAAGTGTGTATTATAGTCAAGTACTATAGACTATAGGACTCCAAGAATAACTCTGGATTTACGTCTAAACAGCAAAATGATATGATCCTACAAATGCTCAATATTGTGGCGAAGAAAGAATGTGTGACTGTTTGCAAATTGCAATAAAATGTACGTCTGCGTGAACTCAAATCGATTTTCATTCGCTATATATACGCTTCGTCATTAAACAAATAATCAACCGCAATAAATATATAAATACGAGTTGAATGTTATCGATAACAGCTCCACAAATGTTTGTTTCATTACTAAATAATTCAGAAAAATGTGCACTAAAGAGTTATATATTACTCACCACTTCGCACGTCTTTTCCTTGTCCGTGTCCTTGTCATCATGCTGCATATTTTTCACAGTATCAATATTTCACCAGATACATATAATATTTTAGGCATCAAAAATTTTATTTATTTTACCGATGCATTGACAAAAATGCAATGACACGATTACATCATTACATCCATTACGCCAGTCATGTAGGACATCTTGTCCACTTGTCTAGGCTCCGATTGGCTAAGGACTTCAAAGCGCTATCACTTATGCAAAACATTATCCGTTAAAATGATCTCGTTAAAAACCGTTAACGGATTATTTTTTCGCATATCTCATGTTATATTCTTAAAAACAAACTATTTATAATCGAGTCGATCATGCAAATACAAAATAGCCTTAAATATGTTACACTTAGACAAAATTAGAATATATTGGTTTATACATATATCTAAAATGTTTCATATATCATAAATAAATATTTCTATGAATACGTTAATATAATTTAAACAATTGTTTAAAATACTACAACTATTTTGAGAATATTAGTTAGTAGTCGTAAATATTAGTAGTATCACAAATAAATAACAGTAATAAATTTAAATGAATTATAATACTGAAAAATAACATGATATTCTAATATCTGCAAATCGAAACCATAAAGTGCTAATTCAGAAAAAATCTAGCACAATGTCCTCGATTAATCTTTGGAATCTCATTGTCTAGTGTTTCATTGATTTCAGTATCTGAAATGGGTTGATGAGGATATACAACATTTTTCTACAATATTTTTGCTCCAGTTGGATTCCCTAAGAACTTTGTTATAGAACAGATAAAATTACAAACAGATTATACATATACATCAACAATGTATTAAAAACAATTTAAAATGCCAAATGCTACACATAATTTATGAATTTTGCACACTAAGAAAAAGGTTGTATTTTTATATATTTAATATATATTTAAACAATTTTAACTAAGAGCTCTTGAAAAGTGAAAACAGTTATTTATCTAACATGAAATTAGAATAAAAAAACTGAACCTGAAATAATAATTAGCTCATAATAAAATCCAGAAGTATTTTTTTCAAAGTTTTATTTTGAATAGATGTACCAGCAATCAAATTAATTCATGTCAATGGTTCTCATTCCTGGCTTGTGAACAGTCTTCGCTAAGAAGTCAGCAAATTCTTGATATGGAGTCTTTGTCAATGGCATTTCCTTCCATAAATCAGGTGTCAAGTAGGAGTAAGTCTTAGCAATGGCTGCATAAGTAGCCTTTGCAAAATTACCTAAAAAAGATATTGGGCTTTAGTATGATAAAAAGTAAATGTTTTATCTATATATACATATATATAAAATTCAGACAACACTCAACCGTCATCTGGCATAAAAGACATCCGGTGGAAACCGCGAATGTATAAAATAGGTTTTCATCATTAAATTTAAATTGTAACAAATATATTGGTGTATATGTACCTAAAGTTCCAGTGGAACCTCTAGCGCTGGTATAGCAATCTTCAATACCAGCCATCTGCAGAAGCTTCTTGGGTACAGGAGCTGATACAATGCCAGTACCTCTGGGTGCTGGGATTAAACGTACAGCAACTGAACCACATTTACCAGTAACCTAAAAATTGAAGCAATTATTAATTTATGTCATACAGTATAAAGTTGTATGGTTTGTTATGATTTAGTCAGACGTTCCAACCATCACAAAAACTTCAGTGGAAACCACGAATGAATTAGAAATTATGTTTTCATCATACTGTAATGCAATACATGTACGGAGGTGTAATATTTACCTTGCAAGGTACTGTGTGGGGTTTACCAATCTTGTTACCCCAGTAACCACGTCTGACAGGTACAACACTCAATTTAGCCAAGATGATAGCCCCACGAATGGCAGTGGCTACTTCTTTACTGCACTTGACGCCAAGACCAATGTGCCCATTGCTGTCACCAATGGCAACAAAAGCCTTGAATCTAGTTCTTTGACCAGCTCTAGTCTGCTTCTGTACAGGCATGATCTTGAGGACTTCATCCTTCAATGAAGATCCAATGAAGAAATCGATGATTTCGAACTCTTTAATGGGGAGAGAGAACAAGTAGATTTCTTCGAGAGTGCGGATTTTTCCTTCGCGTACTAAACGTCCTAGCTTTGTGACTGGAATCCATTCTTTGGATGAATCGTCCTTGCCACGACCACGGCCGCGACCGCGTCCACGGCCCCGACCACGTGGTCCACCACGGCCCCCACGGTCACCACCGCCACCGCCACCACGTCCACCGAAACCGCCACGGAATCCACCACGACCGGCTGGAGCTGCGTCCGCCATTCTAAAAAATCAAATGGTGCACATATTAGGTTAGGTCAAACACTAACTTACTTAAAATAATATTAGCAAAGAAACTAATTGCAAAATCAATTTCAGACGACATTCAAGCCATCACACAGTGTACAAACACTGTCCGGTGGAAACCGCGAATGTTTGTAGATAATTCTCATCATTGTTTGATTTTGCAGCACATCTATGATAAACATTAGACTAAAACACTTCTTTAAAATGCATCACTTATCATTTAAACTACCGATGATTTGAAAGAACAAGGATAAAATTAGATAACAAACAAATAATACTCACATGCTAATTGTTGAGCTGAAGTGACTTGAAGAACACGAAGAGCTCGAATGACAGAGGAAATGACGAGCCGACCGGAGTAAGAAAAATATTGCCAGATGCAAATAAAAGTATAAAATGTCCTACGCTTACCCCACATTTGTTGGCGTCTGGCAACACTAATCCGTTTATCCGTTCATTAAACGCTGCGTATCAAGTTGTTTTTATAAATTTGACTTAAATAATTAAATCAAGCCAATAATTTAGTTATATGAATTTTTATAATAAACAGTTAACAACAATTGACATTAGTTATTTACATACTCCTACTTTAGTGTTATAAAACGTAAATACAATACTATGTATAATGTTATATCCATATATTATAACAAATTTAAATTTATATTAACAGTTATATATTAGAAATTCCAGATAACACAAATGAATTTGAATAGTAATTAAGTGGACTTAACAAATTCTGAAACTGCAAACAATCAGGCATCAAACATACTGTTAACCATAGCAAGTTGAAATTTTCTTCAATTTTATCAAACATTATAATTCATAGTATCTCAAATCGATATTTGAAATTGCTTAATAATGTTGTAATTTCTCTACAATTATTAAATTATCAAATAATGTTGCCAATTATCTGAAATTCATCTAAATTGTCTGAAAGACTACATTCTCTGTATCTTAAATTCTTTATATCAACTATATCCATCCATATATGTATAAAAGTATTTACATTTATCTACTATTCGGATTCGCATTAATTTAACTAAACTTTCCCAATTCAATTTTCTTTTGAATGGCTCGTACACTATGATACAGTATAGAATCGATCAAGCCAGCAACTGTGAAAACTCCGCCGATTATTGCACAGACACTTGTCGCAAAATGTCCGAAAGAACTAAAACAATTATTGAACAAAAATTATTGTAATTAAAATATATAATTGACTTTATGATGGTAATAAATAATTCAATTATCTCACCGTTCTTTCTCGGTGTATTTAACCATGAGTGGTGAGAGTTCGTAGCTGAAAAATGCACCGGGCATCCCTGATTCTCCGCTCATGACTGAAACTATTTTCTGATGTCTTGTGACAGAAAATTGATTCGTGTGCAATGTGGAACCATCTTTTTTAACATATAAGGTGGGAACTATCTTTATGTAATATTGAAACATTGTTGCGTCTAAAAATAAAAATAAATAGTTGTGAGTGGCATTTTGCATTAAGACAAGTTGCTGACTGAAGATTGAGTAGAATTTATCATGAATAAATCTATGACAAACTTTATATTTAATGATTGAATGTTTTTCTTTTAGTTCTCTTTATTTAAGAAACAACTACTATGTATATTAAAATGTAAAATTTATAATTTAATTCAACTTTAATTACTAATAGAGCTTAAAATTATATCTTTATTATTGATTATTATTACGGCTTGCTGATGAATAAATAAATAATGCCAAATAAGCGTCATCCATTTCTGCACAAATTACTTATATAAGAAAATACAAATAACACTATGTGTTGTTTAATTAATCGGCAATATCAGCATTATAAATGTATGTAGATAATAAAAATAAATATCAAATTTTATAAGAAAAAAATATAGGGCTCAACCGGGATTTGAACCCGGGACCTCTCGCACCCAAAGCGAGAATCATACCCCTAGACCATTGAGCCGCTGTCGATATTTCTCACTTATTTCAATATGTCTTTACACGACATTTACTACATTCTTAAACATTTCGACAGCTATTAGAATATTTTTGTAATAAAATAAATGATAAATAATTGAATAAAAAGAGACCAATTATGCTAATTTTAAAATAAAGAAACATACAAAACAAAAAAAATATGCGTCTAAAATAATACATGTCCACACAAGACAAAAACAAACATGGCGATACATTAGAGAAGAAAGACAGATAAATTTGTGACGTGATATATAAAAAAAATTCAATCCAACTTGTTATTTTACGACTTAAATTAGTTAGTATAAAAAAAACAGACGCATCATTAACAATAATCAGTTAACATTATTAACTCGTAATTATTATTAAGTCATATTGTTATAAAATTTTGAAACGTTCAAAATGCCTGTCCCGTCCTCCGGAATGTACCAGCAGGGCCCTAGTTGCTTTGATAAAATGAAAATGGGTTTCACGATAGGTTTTTGTGTCGGTATGGCCAGTGGGGCTCTATTCGGAGGATTTTCCGCATTGAGGTAATAATTATTTTGAGGTTATACTAACCTACACTTTCTTACTTTGAATTTTACTAATTTGCATGAAATAACTGATAATTAACACAGACGATACAAAAGCGTGCGCACTGTTAATGGTTTATAATACTGGGCAACATAAAAACTTTGAATAACAAAAATACTGTTTCAGTGTAATCCTTAAAGTTAGCTTACAGTTCTTTTATTCTTCTAGGTATGGAATGAGAGGACGTGAACTTGTAAATAATGTAGGAAAAGTGATGCTCCAAGGTGGTGGCACATTTGGTACATTCATGGCTATTGGAACCGGCATTCGATGTTAAAACATTACAACACAAGACTAAATATTTCGTAGTTCTCACAGATATTATATAAATATGTACATTTTATCATAAATAAATAAGAAGTTATTAGTTATTAATTACATATTTCACTTACCTTCTGTGGCTATAACTTTGGTGCCGTCCAAAGGATTTGTTTTTCCACTGTCTATTTTTGTTCCAAACGACAGATGACGTATATGGTGTGATGTATTGAAAGATGATGATGAGAATGGTTGTACATCATGAACATGAACATGGTTTATAGCAAAACTCTGTCCTGGGGCTATGTGGAAACTTCCTCCTACCTGGGTAAAGGAAACAGTACGGTTAAGCAATAGTTATAATATTTGTTCCTATAATTGACGTATTTCATTTGATGACATTATTTAGCAGGTGATAAATAATGTGATAATGAATAAGGAAACCAATAATAACAAAAAACCAAAAAGTTTTTTAAAGAATTTTTGATTTAATGTCAATGGAATGGAAATATGTATGTACATTCCATCTTCAGACATCTTGTCTTAAAATAATGAAAACAACAAGGAATGCACATAGTTGCAAAACGTCAATAAATAATAAATTTATAAAACTTCTTGGTTTTCTATTACCTCATATCTCTACTTCTATCTTACCCTGTTAACTTCCATATGACCATAAATTTGACATCCTTCTTTGAAAACATCCCTTAGTTTGTCAGCGACTCGTTCATTTTTACATTGCTCAATACTATTCAAATCACCTATTTTCCATTTTCTAATCCTGTAGGCTTCTTTAACATCTTCACAAGTGTTACAACATTGAGATTCATTTAGTGCTGCACCATAGCAGCTTCCACACAATACTTCCACAGTTTTATTTGCTGCCTGATAATAAATTTGTCATTAATATTTGAATTTGCTTGTGGGTTAATATGATTAATTTGCTAGTACTGTTGTTTTTTTAGTTGTTGTCATGATGTCCTCTTTTTTAGGGTCTTCAATGGGCTCTCCTTCTAAATTTAATCGTCTTTTATAAATATTATGATCTATGTGCAAATGTTGCTCTCCGGAGGTATCCATAGCATCTAATGACAAATCTAAAGACAAACAAATACATAAATTAATAAATTATTTTTTAATATGACAATTATTATTATGTACTTACAATCACAGTGAATCTGAGGTACCACAATATCCAGATTAATTTTCAGTTTAGGACCCCGAGTGGTGTCAACAAATAGTTCTTCCGATATGTTTTGTGATAAATAGGTATGCAATTCAGATAAAAATAGGAGTGCAATAATAATAAAGCTAACGATGGTCACTGAAACAAATTTAAACAATATTATATTAACTGTAATACATCAATATTATATATTCATAATTTAGAAATAGATATTCTTGTAGTCATTTAGTTTGATTTTTAAATTAAGTTAACAGTTTCAAATTTTCAGATGTGTCATATAAATGTATTTTTCAAACAAACCTGCAGCACCACCAGGTGTCTTAATACTGAAATCTTCTAAAGTTTTTGGATAAGCGTCAAGTTGACGCAATTTATCTAATATTTTCATTATAACAGTGATTAATTCAAATTATAAACAACAATATTTATTTATCTACATTTGGACATACAATTGAGGTTATAGACTTGATTTGCCGAACTGACATTTATTAGCGTTAACAATGCTGAAAAGTGACAGATCAATTCAAAATGGAGTTTCGGGGGCATCGACGACTGCAACCATTTTCTTTCGAATCCTTATTAAATACAGGGTTTTAGAACAAAACAAACACATTTATACATTTCAATATATATTAAAATATTTCATAAACTTTCTATACAAAAAAATTATATTAATATCAATCTTTGTTATTATACACATACATAACCCATACACATAAGTTTCAAATATTATTATTTTCTATATTCAAATATTATTAATATTGCACCGTGATAAACAATATATTATTATTGTTATATATTATTAGACTTGGTAGATTTATTCAAGGAGCTGCCTTATCAGCTTTACGTTTACCAATTCGTATACATTTTGAACAAGTCATTATTTTATTCCAGCAAACTGAGTGATAGCAAGAACCGCAAATCTCACATCTAGTTACATTACTCTGCCAAGGAAAAATAGTTTCCTTGCAACAAAATTCACAAACAAAGCCTCGTGCAGTACACAACTATAATAAGATATTATTTAGATAAATATTATGACAAAACAATTGTTATTGTTTTATAATTATACTGACCTCACATTGAGTTACATGTATATCACTATTTTTAACAAGCTCATTTAAACGTATTAACAAGTCACCATTTTTCACTTGAATAAAATCATTCATTGACCACACATCAGTTTCATTGTAAATGTGAGATTGTTCGATTGTTCGTTTATTATTTGTTTATGCAGACTGAAAACAAATGAAAAGTGAATTTTAAAACATTGTTAAGTTAAATTGCGAGTAAAGTCTTACTCAGGTGCAAATCTGCAAGTAATGATGAATTCTTTAGCAGCTGATAATTTTATGCGAGCCATTTTACATCTAAATAGAGCTTTGCTCTTTGTATACAATCCTGGAGCCAGTAAATCAACTCTAAATAAAGGATCATTCCACATACGTTCCAGTAAACGATAAGAAAATTAGATACTTGATATCTAAAATTATGTGCACATTAATAAACATATATTTATAATAATGAATTACATTTCTACAATATGTACCTTTTAAAATCCCACTTAGATAAAACTCGTCCTGGTATTGTAGCTAATCTTTCGCTATGGCAGCCTGTACAAAATA